AAAAATTTCGAAATTAAATTTTTTTTTTTACGAGCTTTGAATAGAATTTTAAGTTGTATGTTTGATTATGAGTTGTAAGTTTTTGTATCAAATATTATATGTTATATCAAAAATTTTCCATTCAATTCAAAACTTTTTTCAAAACTCATTCACCAAACAAATTTTTCAAAACTCATAAACTCAAAATACAATTCTATTCTCAAATCATATTTAGAAAACTCTACCAAACACAACATTGAATTTTCTTCACGCTAGCATATTCGACATTAATTCATTGTTTTTTAAATTATTTTTTTGTCATATTTTCATATCATAGAAATTAGAATAAAGTGTTACTTTGTGTTTTAACATATGATTTGTTGTGCATTTCAATTCCAAAATGAAGTCGTGTCAATGTGTTTGTATTCTAAATAAGCACTCCATGGTCAACATATGGAGAAAATTGTTTTGAAAAAAAAAATAAAAATTCCAAACCTAAGCAACGATTACATCACTCCAACCGTGAATGGTAATTACGGAAATCATGGGGGAAAAAACCTGGGTAGCTCAACACAAAAAAAATGTTCAGAAAAAAATCTTTGCGGTTCTGTGGAAGGCATTTAACTAAGGCGAGAAAAAAAAAAATGTTGTCGGCGATTTATATTTGGAGAAAGACGGATCATCACCAGATCGGCATAAATACGAACCGAATACCATCACTATGGGCCAAAACAGAGGAAGATGTCGTAGATCGGAATGGAAAAAGTTTCAAACCGAGTCGACAAAGGTAACAAACACATGTATAATCGGTTCACGTGATTTACCTGTCGTTGTTCTTCGTCCGTCGTGTTCTGTGGAAGGCAGAGGTCCGCCGGAGATAGGTCCGCCGGAGAGAGATCAGTCGCGCACTGGTGTTGGGACAGTCGGTGTGAGAGACGGAACGGAAGATATGAGAATAGGGCACTTGGGTTTGAGGTGTGTGTATAACCCACACCCTTTGAAATAGTCAAGGGCCAAAATGGTAATTCCACTCCCGGTTTGTAACGTAGCTGTATCACGCGTGAACTGTTCACGCTTTTCGGCTGAAATTTGAATTTAGGCTATATTAGCCTAAATCGCAGGTTGCCAAACAGCCCCAATATGCGTATTTACTATTTGTTGCATTTTGGCTAGAGAAGTTACTAGTAAATGGTCCCATAAAAAAAAAAAAGTTTCTAGTAAATAGTAATTTCGTCATAAAATATATCATGTGAAAATTTGAAGTGATTACAAATAAAATAAGAAAATATAAAAGAAGATAAAAAAAATTATAAACAAATAGAGTTAACAGAGTAGTAAGGTGTTCAAGTGCTTAATTTAAATATTTCTTTAATGACACCTCAAATTTGAATGATTAATTTTGTAATATACATTGAGTTGAGTGATTTTATTTACATAATAAATTAATTTTGAATGAGTGAAACATAAATTGAATTAGAGTAATATGTTTTGATTTATAATACTGCAAAACAACAAATATATAAATCACTAAAGAGTATTTTTTTGTTGTACAATATTTTTGTTATGTTTCTCATTTTACACCTTGTTTGATTTAGTGTTGTTTGGTTTATTTTTTATAAATTATTTTTAGAGGGGTTTTCGTTTATTTGTAGTGATTTATTTTATTTTATATTTTAGCCAATTATTTATATTTTTTAGATGCATCTTCATCTAAAAAGTAGAATCGCGTTTGGGAACAGACTAATTTAGTAACTTTTTAGCTATTTGACTAAAATATGAGCTAAAAAAAACTAGTATGTTTGGGATGACTTTTTGACTTTTTACGAAAAGATGTGTAAAAAGTAGAGAGAAAAAATAATTTTTGACTTTTTAGTATGAGTTGTTGGCTTTTTAATTTTTTTAGTGACTTTTGACTTTTTGGCTAAAAAAGTCACTTGCCAAACGAGGCCTAAGCCTGGTTTGGGAACAGGCTAATTTAGGCCAAGTTTGACTCCTCAAAAAAATCTAAAAAGTCAAAAAGTTATACAAAAAGCAAAAAAGACATTACTATTCACAAATAAAAAATATTAAAAAAATATTTTATATATATTTATACTTCAAATGCACTAGCAACGTGACAGTCCAAAACCAGGATAAGATCCACTTTTTTTGTAGGCAAAAAAAAATTCCATAGGTAAAGTTTATTAGTTTGATGGTAATATTGGGTCCTTGGGGCCTACTAAGAGTTCCTTTTTAATAATCTGAACCGTTGAATATGTAGAACTCGTCGATTAATATACTTTTGTAAAAATCAAGCTGATCGGATATCGTTAACTATATGATCAAATCAGTTTTGTATAAACAAAACCGATGGTGTGATAGTTAACTATTGGAAAAAAAACTAATCCGATCATATAGTTATCGATATCCGATCAACTTGATTTTTTACAAACATATAATAATCGATGAGTTGTACATATTCAACGTTTCAGATTATTAAAATGGGACCCATGGTGACCGCCACGGACCCACCATCACTATCCAAAAGTTATTTGCCTCGAAGGAGTTGATTATTTTTCTTACTAGACAGGCTCGGCAGCCGCAGGCAGTAGTACCATCAATCTTAAATCTTTCGCTACACACTTTATTTATACAATTTTTTATTACATATTTTTTCATAAAAAGATAAAAAATTAACTCAAACATTCATATTTTTTCCCTCAACTTTTTAGTTCAAAAAGACAAAATGTGCACTTATTTAGGACACCCCAAACAACTCCTAGTAACTTTTTAGCTATTTGGCTAAAATATAAGCTAAAAAAATTAGTATGTTTGTGATGACTTTTTGGCTTTTTACGAAAAGATATGCAAAAAATAGAGAGAAAAGAGAATCTTTGACTTTTTGGTATGGGTTGTTGGCTTTTTGATTTTTTTAGTGATTTTTTAGCTTTTTGACTAAAAAAGTCATTTGCCAAACGAAACCTGAATTGGTTAAAAATATTTAAACAATTCACCAAAAATAAAAGAAAATTTGAAGAAAATCTATGTGTATTTTTTGTTCAAATATTTGTTTATTTTTATTTTTTTTCTTCATATCTTAGTATTTTTTTTTAGAAACTTTTTAGATGTATGTAATCTTGATATATCTAAAAAGTAAAAAAATAAATAAAAAAATTCAATAAATACAAATGAAAATCTTTGTAAAAATAAAATTTTGAAAATATAAGCAAAACAAAATGTTTTGCTTTTGTTTTTAAAGAACTTTTTTTATAATTATATTTTAGTCATTTGAAAAAAATATTTTAGATATATTTAATATAGATCCATTTAAAAAGTAAAATATTTATAAACATATCTAAAAAAATATTTCATTAAATACAAAAATAAATTCTTTTATTTTTAAATTTCTTCAAAAACATGTTATTTTGGAAAATAAATCTAGATCTAGATTACGAAAATAGAATTTTCTTTTGGGGAAATAAAAAAAAAAGTAAAAAGTTAAAAAAATAATTATAAACTCATAAAAGTACAAAAAAATTTACGCACTAAAATGTGCAAATGAGTATTGTACTTTCATTCATTCCGCTGTATCAAAAAAAAAAGAAAAAAGAAGTATACTTTCATAAATTTATAATTATTTTTTTTATTTTCTATTTTCTATTTAATTTTTTTTTTCAAACTAACAAAACAAAAATGAAAAATGAAAGTTCAAAAAACAGATTTTAAAGTCATAAACCAAATAAATAAATAATAATAGGTGGCAAAGGATAGAGTAACTCTCCTAATCCCACTAAGACTTATTTTAACAACTAGCAAAAAAATTTAATTTATTGACATATTAACTTAATTAAGTTATATTATCTCTTTATTTATTTTTATATATTTAAAAAAAATTAATAAGTAAAAAAAATAAAAAAATCACTCTCCAAACCTAAAAATGAAAAAATTTCCGTCTCCGACACTTCAATAAAAACGGAGTAAGAGCATCTCCAACGATGACTCAAATTTTTCACTAAATCTGAGTAAAAAATGACTCATTTCACCAAATTTGATACCACTCACTCCAACAATTCACCTTTCACCAAATCTATCCCGGGACAACCGGGTGATTGACCGGTTAGGCAGACCGGTTAGGCAAATTTTTTTATTTTTTTTTTCGCGAATTGTCTGAACTTTTTTTTGAACTTTCGGAACGACCGGGTGGTCGACTGGCCGGTTGACCGGTTAGGCAATTTTTTTTTTTTTACGGTTTGAACTTTTTTCCTGAACTGTTTGAATCTTTTACTGGTCGACTGGTTGGTCAACTGGCCGGGCAACCGGCTGGTTGACCGGTTGGTCTCCCTCAAACGGTCACCAACAGTGTTTTGGTGAAATCAGTATTTCGTCGTCAGTTTGATAAATTTTTTGATGAAATCTCAATGTGATATTCATTTGGTGCAACTGTTGAAGCAGTGAACAACAGCTTTTTCATCAAAATTTGAATTTGATATCAGTTTTGGTGAACCGTTAGAGATGGTCTAATGATTGAAATTTTACCGGTTGACCGGTTAGGCAAATTTTTTTTTTTTTTTTTTTTTTACGGTTTGAACTTTTTTCCTGAACTGTTTGAATCTTTTAGTGGTCGACTGGTTGGTCAACTGGCCGGGCAACCGGCTGGTTGACCAGTTGGTCTCCCTCAAACGGTCACCAACAGTGTTTTGGTGAAATCAATATTTCGTCGTCAGTTTGATAAATTTTTTGATGAAATCTCAATCTGATATTCATTTGGTGCAACCGTTGAAGCAGTGAACAACAGTTTTTTCATCAAAATTTGAATTTGATATCAGTTTTGGTGAACCGTTGGAGATGGTGTAATGATTGAAATTTTAAAAATTTTACTAAATTTTTTACTAAATACATGAGATTTATATTTAATAAAATTTTAGTATTGTCTAGCATTTTTATATTTAATAAAATTTTAGTATTGTCTAGTATTTTTACTAAATACGTGAGATTTATATTTAATAAAATTTTAGTATTGTCTAGCATTATTCATAAATACCCCCTTCCTCTGAAAAGTTTCTTTATCTTTTCTCTAACGTTGTTGTCGGTCTCTCTTTCTCTCCTAGGGTTAGGGTTTTCAGATACAAAACCAGAGACCACACAAGCTACCCCCATGTCGACTTCGAAGACAATCGTGTTGAAAAGCTCCGATGGCGAGACCTTTGAGGTTGAGGAATCGGTGGCGTTGGAGTCGCAGACCATCAAGCACATGATCGAGGACGATTGCGCCGATACCAGCATTCCTCTCCCCAACGTCACTAGCAAGATCTTGGCCAAGGTCATCGAGTACTGCAAAAAGCATGTCGATACTCCCAAGTCCGATGACAAGACTGCAGAGGATGAACTCAAGAACTTTGATGCCGAGTTCGTCAAAGTCGATCAGGGCACTCTCTTCGATCTCATCCTGGTTTGATCTCTTTCTCCTTCATCTCTTTGATTGTTTTTGATTTCTCTTTGATTTTGACTTTTTTTTAATTTATTTTTTTTAGATTTGTGATATTGGGTGGCGTATTGATTTTTTTTTTTTTGGTTTCTGAATGCATATAGTTTGTAAAATTAACTGCAAAATTGATAACTCGAAACGATTTGGTTCTAGAATTTTTCATAGATTGTGAGGATGTCTTGTTCAGAAGTTATTTCAAAATTGATTATTGATGATATTTGGATTTATTCAGAGACTATTGTGCAATACACACTGTATTTGTTTTGTGCATTACATAAAAAGCCATTGTTTTTGGAAAGACTTAAGAAGAATGTAATGGTTTTGTTTTGTGGTAAATCTAGTTGTGTGAGCAACTTGTCGGAATTATTCTTGGTTTAGAATTTTCATGGATATGGGATGTGGGTGTTTTTTTTGTTTATTTGCGACAATATTATTGTTCAGAAGTTACCTCGAAATTGTGGAACTAGGGTTTATATTGATGATATTTGGACTGATTCAGAGACTGTTGTACAATATGGAATTTGTTTTGTGCATTACTTAAAAAACATTGGGATGCTCTAGTTTTTGGAAAAATTTAAGAAATATGTTTTGGTCCTGATATGTGGTAAATCTAATTGTGAATGGCTTTTGTTTGTAGGAATTTCAGATGCGATAATGATAGATGTGGGGTTTCTTGTTACACTAAAAAGATTATGTTGAAGCAATCTTTGTTTGTTTTTGTTTTTGTTTTTGTTTTGTTTTGTTTTGTTTTGTCTTTTTGCATTGCGAATCCTTGTGTACTATTTATTTTCTCATATATTTTTTTAGACTAAAAAGTAATTGTATTAATCAAGACACCAAGGAATTGTATACGCATGACAAACAAAAAGGAACAAAATGGCTATATCACATTTACATCCATGATTATCTAGTCAAAAAGAATACAAAAATCTAAAATTGGTTCAAGGATGACTTGACCCCACCTGAAAACCAACTAAACAAATAGACAGTATTTTGCTTTCAATCTAAAAATTAGAATCTTTATATCCATTAAACGTTCGTTGACTGTGCTCATTCCAGTTAATCCACATCAAAGCGAAAGCAATAAAAAACCTTTCCTTTTCAACCCCTTTCCAACTTTTGTCCCATCTAAAAGCATGTAACAATCCTTGCACATTTCCTAGGAACATCAACAGCACCAAACGTGCCTAGAATGAAAGTCAACTCCCTAGCCATCACACACGATTTGTAGATGATGGACTTTTGACTGATTTTTCTGTCATGCTTGCACATACAACATCCATTTAGCATAAACTTGTCTCCTAATCAAATGGTCAATATTACGTTGTGTTTGGTTGAAGGATTTGGGAAGAGATTTGGCAAGGAAAAGGAAAAGGAAAAGGAAAAATGTGTGTAGAACTAGGTGAAATGTAGGTATATTTTATTTACATTTCACCTATTTTTTCTCTTGCCCTTTTCATTTCCAAATCCCTATCCAAACACAGCGTTAATGATTTTTCCATGTGAAGCCATCAACATATACCTTGGATAGATAAATCCCCTGCGCCCTCTCCACTGAAAGGATTGTCCAATTGATAATTTGCCATCAGAAAATTATGGTTGAGTTCTAAATGCTGGATGGGTTTGGCTGCCAGGTCAATAGATAAGCAAGATTCTGATGCCATGTTGGTTGTCTTTTTTGAATAGTTAGTCAGTGGCCTCTATGCTGGATTTTAAAGCAATGTTTGCCTGCAGAATACTATACCAATTGCCTGATATGTGAAATTGTGAAGGTTGTGCGAGTGATGAGCTTTGAAAGTGTAGTTCATTGGCTATCTATGAGTCCCATCTAGGTGTCTTAGGTTTTATTTGACATCTTCTCCTTGATGAGAGTCAGCCAAATGATGTTAAGCTACTCCTGAAGTCTATGCTTATATCCTAATGCACCTTGCTTTGGTGTATGGGTGAGTATTAGACAGTTCTGAGTTCTGTCCTTGTAACTTTGCAGCTTCTTATATATATATACTAGTGGTTGCCACACGCGATGCGTGTACAATTTAAATAAATAAAAATAAAATAAAACATTTATCATATATTGTGTGCTAGTAAAGTGGTAAGAGTCTTATTCCTTTGACATAAGTCTAAGGCTCAAATCTCCTCCTCTCATTTATCTAATTTTTTTTTTTAATTTCAAATAAAAAGATAGACACGTGGCAGCATAAGAAACAAAGGCTTCAAGACACCATAAAGGGTGAAGGTATAGTTTGTTGTTTGTGTTTGTATGAGTCCCACCTACCACATAGGCTTTATTTGACATTTTTTCTCAGAAGCCAAATAATTTTAAGCTTCTCCTCAAGTCTTATCATTATATGCTAATGAACCTTGCTTTGGTATATGGGTGACTATTAGACAGTTCCGAGTTCTGGCATTTAACTTTGCAGCTTTCTAAAAATATATTTTTTTTAGGTAATTTATGAATTTCCTATATTTATTTACTTGTCCTTTTGGTATAAGCTTCTTGTATATTTATTTCTTTTTGGGTTTTATTTGTATAGTTTTGTTTTTCATGTCTAGATGTTTTGGTGCCCCATATTCTGTGCGAAAAGCTCACAAGGTGGTAGAGTTTGAAGCTTACGGATTTTGTGTAATAGTGCAAAATCTTGGTTTTTGTTTAGCATTCAAGTTGATTTCTCTGTGAGTCCATTATTTTTTCATTATATTTTCAACTAAATTTTTTTTTATCCTTGAGAGTTTGTGTTCATGTATTTTCAGGCAGCAAATTATCTGAACATCAAGAGCCTGCTGGATTTGACATGTCAGACAGTGGCAGACATGATCAAGGGAAAGACTCCAGAGGAGATCCGCAAGACATTTAACATCAAGAATGACTTCTCTCCAGAGGAAGAGGAAGAGGTTCGCAGGGAGAATGCTTGGGCATTCGAGTGAAACGTAAAAGTGGATGTGCAACATCATGTCCATAGTATGATGATAGGATTTCTATATAATATGACAGTTGTTTTGAGCATTTCCTTTACCTTAGTAAATATGTGCTACCTGGTTGTTTTGAGAAAACCTTCACCTCGTTGTCATGGGATTTATGACAATTTGAACCTTCTGGTTATCATTGGGTCTTTGGCGTTGTGGTTGCAATTCTTAAAATTTGGTGTGTTTGCCTTCTTTATACTAGTCACAATTTTTATCCAGCTAATAGCTGTGATGAGCTTGATATCCCATTTTCCATTGTATTCAGTGTTAGGGGCTGGATGTGTATGATGGTTTTCAACTGAGGGTGCCATATTTTGGACCTTAGCTTAGCTCCAGGGAACAATATGCAACAATTTATATTTCTATCCTAGAGGAGACAAGGGGGTAGTCCAGTGGTTCGGCCACCTTTACAAATAACTAGTTTGGGTTTCAAGTCTCGCATTCATCCTCCATAGCTGCTTGTACTGGTACCTAGATCCCCTTATCATCAACTTGGTCTACGGAGTTTTTTAACTTTTGGTGAACGGAATTGAGTGCAGTTGGGAGCTTTACCATAAACCTTTTCGAAGTTGGATTTGAGGACTAGTGCAATTTGATCTGGCCGGCGGTTGTTCCAAAATTTCCAAATGGCCTTGCCGTATTAATCCTCATGTTGGCTAGGTTATCATATGCACACTTGTTGCGACGGCTGTGAAACGAATCAAACTATTTGAATTCGATTCATGTTTGGTTTGTTAAATGCTCCTCACTTGAGTACTTAGTAAACAAGTTAAGGTTGTACACATTTTAAAATTCATGAAGTTTTTGTCCAACTTATTATTTGACCCTCGATATACTTGGAAGTATTATAATAAAAACTCAAGCTATTTAAAAAAAAAAAAAAAAAAAACTCAACTTGTGTTTGGGTCAGGAAAAATTTGTTCGAGAACATTTTGTTATATAAACGAGTTAAATTTGAATACATTTTGAAAATTGTTAAATTCTGTCAAATTTGAATATTCAAATAATCTGCATGTTTACAATTTCGGAAATTTTATATGCATCTTAGTTATGACCATTGTGGTATTTGATTATGATTTATTGTGATATTAGTCATGATTGATTGTGATGTTGATTATAATATTATTTAAGTTATGATCTAAAAGAACTATTTGGTTATAATTTTTTTGTGATTTTTGGTTATGACAATTTTTTAATATGGTTTTTAGTTATATCTCTTTTCTTTTTCTTTTTTTGTTTTTAGTTAGAACTCCCATTAGATTGAGTTATAACATTTATGATAATTTAATTTACAAATATCATAATTTACCTATGATACATACTCTTTGTGAGAGTGTGTACATAGCATTACCTTGTTCAGCTCTACTTGTTCACTAAGACACCAATTTGTTAGTTGAACATGATAAATTTCACAATGGCATAGAGAAATATATATGCTTTCAACCAATTTTCTGAATTGTACATTCCACATTTTGAGTCACTTTTATTTCTGCTATCTTTCCAGATTCTCCACTGGGTGATAATAAAGACAATACTCCAGGCAACATTGTTACAATCTAATAGAATTGTGCACTATTAGATAAGTATTTGCTTACACTGAAATTTCTGACCCACTTTTTGAGTATTCTCTAATGTTATCTATTAGAATTGTGTCACCTAACAATAGTATTTGGTGACCAAATTTGAGTACTAAATTTTAATACTTTTATGCTGTGTTTGGTTGGGGGATTTGGGGAGGGATTTTGAAAGGAAAAAGGAAAAGGTGTGTGAAACTATGTGAAATGTAGGTATATTTTTTTCACATTTCACCTATTTTTTTCATTTCTCTTTCCAAATCCATCTTCAAATCCCTGAACCAAACACAACATTAATATCAATGATTTAAGAGGTTCTACCATTTGTATATCAGTTTATTCAGATGGCACATTGTGAGTTGGAAGAGAGAGCTGACTCTTTTGGTAAGAGTTTAAAAACAGTTTTTCTGATGTTTAATCTTTTTGGATCATATGTCTTCTCTATTTTTTTACATATTTTTTTTTTGTTTTGTTTTAAAAGAGTCTAAAAAAATTAAAAAATTAACTTTTAACCTATTTCTCAAAACAACTCTAAATAATACAAAATCTATATTGGGTTTGATTTGGTCATGTGAGAAAGTTTGGCACGAAACTTTTTTGAAACAATCTCATAGTAAAGGTTTATTTTAGCGAAGGGATTCACTTGATGTTTTAAAGAGTTTTAATTTTTTTTTTTTTGTGCAGAATTTCACATTAAGAATAAATGAAAAAAAATAAAATGCTGAAAGTTAATCGATAAATGGCCGCTAATTTTTATTACAAAACGTATGTTATTTTTTTTATTTTTTAATCAAAAAAAAAATGTGAGAGAATGAGAGAGGAAAGAGAAAAAACAATTTTGAAAATTGATAAATCAAACATGTTTTTTGATTTTTTTTTTTAATTCAAATGTTAATTCGAAAACTAAACCAAAGGTAGCTAAATTACTAACACAATCTCTTCTTCAAATTAAAATATCATATCCAACAAAAAAAAAAAAAAAAAAAAAACAACTTCTCAACACAAAGCTTTTAAACCATCTGAGCCCTCTCTTCCAAGGTCATGAAGAAGGCTACGGTAGAGCTGAGACCATGCATTGGCATCACAAAGCTTCTTAAACATCTCACCTCTCTCTCTCTCCCATTTCCTGCCTTTTTCTTCATTCTCTTCCCAAAGGGCCTTATACAACACTTTCTCCAAGCAAAGCTGTGCCTCGAGTTTTCTCTTCTCTTCCTCCCACTCGTGTCGATCCTCGTCATATTTCTCCATTTCTTTCACCCATTTGTTTTTCTTTACTTTTTCTAACTCCATCATTTCTCTCTCTGCTTTTTTATATCTTCTTATCAGTTTCTCTACATTTTCTTTCTCCGCCAGGAATTTAGCTTTCAACTTCTCCACTTCTTCATTCCTTTTGTCTTTTGCTTTCTCTACTTTCTTTCCTTGCTCTTCACTAACATGAATTTCTACTATCTTTCCATTCTCTTCACTAACATGAATTTCAGCTTTATATAGAGCGTCCTGCAAATAAATAAACTTTCTTGTAAACTGAGCAATTGATAAAAATAGTTTTTTTAATTTTTTTAATTTTAATTTAATTTAAGATTTGATTCTTGTACTAATTTAATTGATAAAACCCTTTTAAAATGATATTTGTAAAATATGTAATAGGATTGTTCCTCATTTTTCAAAAATAATATTTTTAAATCTTTATTTAATTAATCTTTCATAATATATGATGCAATGTTCTCCAACTATTTTGCATACTACTTAATAGTATCAATATAATCTAATCAATTTATTTATAAAAAATGTTATGAATCATGAAAGTTTATCTCGAAAGTTATTCCTAAAATGAAGTGGATGGTGTAGAATTAAGTTGGTGGGATGTGGGTTGTACTATGATTTTAGTCCAAATGTATTCTAAGTATTTTTTTGGATAATTTTTCTGTGTATGTAGTATTTCTATTATTTATAAAAGATGTGTATGCCACATTATTATTATTATTATTATTATTATTATTATTATTATTATTATTGTTTTCAAATAAAAAAGGTATGTATATTTTTTATTTACTAATATTATCAACCAACAAAATAACTTCATTATTAGTTCAAAACTTTATAAATTACTTTTTTTGCTATTCATAAATTACTTTGTTCACTCTTATGTAAAATAATATCTTCTTATAGGAATGTACCGATACTAATTTAAATGCACACACATACCTTGGCCCCCCTAAGTATAATTTCTAGTTTCGCTCCTGCACACAACTGCAAAACAATGCAGAGAAAATAGTATAAAATAAGAGACAAATAAAGGGTTAGGGATGATATTTTTCAGCAACAAAAAGCAAACCCAAAAAGAAAAAAAATGCACCAAAATCACTAATGTCTTGTATATGTAGTTGCAAAGATTGAGTTTTCGTGGAGTTTATTTAGGATTTAGGGTTTTAAGTTTTGTTTAGGTATAATGGTTTTGGTTTTTTTTTTTTTTGAATTAACAAAAGAAACTTTTATTGATGAAATACCAATCGTACAAGAGCATCACGACAAAACTAGTCAATCTCAATTAGGTCGACACCGAATAGCAAGCTCTATCATCTGATAGGGCCAGCACCCAAGATTGGTGAGAAATCAACCCGGACAACCCCCAAAAGAAACAAGAACAAGAACACACAGCAACACAAACAAAAACCTGATCTGGCTTAGATTGCATATATACAATGTCATGGGCTCCTTACACGAGCTATTTTTTACCTAAAGAACCACCCTGACCTTCACCAATTCTGCTACATCATCAATCTTGGGTTGATATCCATTAAAGATACAATCATTCCTACGATTTCACACTGACCATAACAGAGCAAACGGTAGTGCCTTCCAAAATTTTCCCACCATATTCTTGAATACAACACCTGACCACCAAAGCAGAACCCCCTCCACTGTACTAGGTGTCACCCATTGAAGTCCCCACCACTCAAGCATGTCTGACCAAAAGGGCTAAAGGTTTGGGATTTTTCTTTGATACAAAAGTTTACAATAAATGTAATCCCTCTAATTTTCAATAATCAACCTTTTCAGTTTATTTAAATTATTTTTCATTGAATCAATTCAATTGGGAGGTTATTTCTTATTCATTATGAGAAACAGAAGTTATAAACAACTGCAATAAGATGCAACAGTCTCTCAATGCTTCAATTCTATCAAACATAAAAAACAAATAGTTCTAATCAAACAACCCTAATAAGCTGCACAAAATAATCTCAATGTTTCATTCACTTCAAACATCAAAAACTTATTATAAGATTTAGTTGACAAGTTAATATATGTTTCGGAAACACTACGTGGTCGTGTGATATTTTTGAAGGAAAAAAAAAATAAAAAAAAAATGGTAAGACATGACCGCGTGCTATTAGACGGACAAGAGGGGTACATACCTGTTCCTCATCATCGAAGCAGGAGCAGTAAATGATGATGGAGGCGAGAAGGATAGCCAAAGATAGTAAAAAATAGAAGAAGACATGGATATAAAATGAATCAAGAGGTGCAAGAGTGAGAATCACAAACGTGAGAAGAATCACAAATGTGAGAAGAATCACAAAAAGGATTAGAAGTCCTCCTTTTACAAGATACTCTGCTCTTCCTCCCTCTGCCATTGTCACCCACACCAAAGATAACCCTAGTAGCACAACTCTCTCTCTATATATATGTGGATAGACAAGAGTTTGTAGATAGATGGGTTGTTGTTGGATGTGTTTTCCGTGGGAAGGGGGGTAGCTGCTGCCGTTTTGTTTATTTAAAATAAATAATTAAATAAATAAAAAATTAACACACTCCTTAAGCTGCAGTCTTGCTGTAGTGTATGTGTAGAGCAACACTTTTATGTTTGGGTTGACTTCAGGAAGAATAAGAAGCTATTGAAAAAAATAAAAATAAAAATGAAACAATTGGTTTGATTAGTTGAAAAAAATATGTAAAAAAATTGTATAAAAATTCAATTTTATGATATTTTTATTTCTCTCAAAATCATTTTTTTGTAAAAATAAATTTTAGGATAAATTACACCGATAGTTCTTATATTTTGTTTTTGTATCATTTTGATTCATATAATTTTAATTGACTTGATTTTGACTATATATATTTTTATTTTGTCCTAATTTACTGAGTTAACATCAACCAACTTAATAATTATTTTTTTGTCAAAAACTCTTACGTCATTGTCAATTAAACCAAATTGATACAAAAATCTAAATTAAATAATAAAAAAATAAAATAAAATTGAATTCAAACTATAAACCACCAACAAATTCAATGTTCAATATCATTCTAAATCCAATTCCTTCACCAAATCATCTAAAATTCAAATTACTTTTCAAAAACATGGTCCGAGGCTTGTGTTTCAAATAATTTTTTGTTTATAGCTTCTCCTTATTTATCTAAAGTCAACCCATAAAAGCGTTGTTCTACGCTATAGCAAGACGGCAGGCCCGTGTATCAATTTTTTTTTTTAATAAACAAAACGGCACCGTTTGGCTGTCACTGGTGCTGTCACAGCACTTACCCCGCTTGGCTGCAGGGTGCAATTTGCCCACTATAAGCTCATTCTGGTTGTTCTCAATAGTTTGAATTATTTATTTTATAAAATTTGTCAAGTAAATTATTCATATAAAAAATTAATTTAATGAAATATTAATAATCACACAATCAGATTTCATCTAAAAAAATGAATGGCATATATTATTTTGAGAATTGACCACTCAATTTTTTGACATGAATTGAATAGCAAAAATGGATTGCTTTAAGGGTAAATTACTCATAAGTGACACTTTCAAAAAATATACACAGATTAATTAAAAAATTAATAATTTTAATTATCAAAATTTATAAGATTTATTATTGATTTGAACTGTTTTTTTTTTTGAAAGGATACGCTGGATTGTAATTTCCCGTTGTTTAACTGCATAACCCAATTTACGGACCTGTCTAATAAACTAGTCCGTTTGCCACATCTAGCTTAGGCACAAAGGTTTATAGGATCAATTTGGTACAATTTTTTTTTTTTTTTTGGTTAGCATAATCAGAAAGTAAGCTAAAAGTACTATTCTCTCAATTTTTATTTTACTAAATATGAATATTCTGACACATATTACCAAAACTATAAGGGAAAACAGAAAGTCTAGGGACTCAAACTAAACTTGGAAAATATTCAGAATGCTAAATTTATGGTGTACAATTAAAGATGTATGTTTGGGACCATATTATCAATGAATCTACAACTTTGATTTCAAATTCTGGATAGCTTCTGGTTCTTTATGTTTGGGTTCATAGTGCAAGAATATATTCACTGCTGGAAAATTCACTAAAAACGTCGCTAATTCTTTTTATGACGTTTAGTACCAAACGCCGATGACGCGGCCGTCGCTATAACTTTATGACGTTTGAAAAACGTCGTTATATTTAGTATAGGCGGCGTTTTTAAAAACGCCGCCAAATGTCCTACCTAACTGTACTATGACGTCACTATGACATTTAGCGATATTTTTGAAAACGCCGTCATAGACATTTATACATTTTTAAAATCTAGCCGTTGGGGGTGGGATATAGTGACGTTTTTTAAACGCCGCCATAGCCTTTTTTTAATTTTTTAATTTTACATGGTTGAACAAAAAAAAATACCTGTCAAACTAATAATTGATGTTTATTAAAATAATAAATGGACTTCCAAAAAGCTGAAAGATTTGTGTTTTGCCAGAGTTTAAATAACCAGTTAAGCTAAGGACGAAGGGGTTGGCCTAATGGATGAGGCACTCCCTTAGTAGGTGTAATGTTTGGGTTTAAGTCTTACTGCCACGAGTGCAGCTTTGCTTCCCCTATTCCCCTTGTATTGATTGTCAAAAAAAAACTCAGTTAATACAGAATAGAGGGTGATATGTCACAGTTAAAAATCCCAGTTAGTTTAGACCCCTAAAATACAAAAATTAGATAGCTTTTAATTATGCTGCTTCTACAAGCTCATTATCTTTACAATTAACTGTACATGCAGGCATTGCCAGTTTTCACCTTTGCTAACCAGGCTGGTCTTGACATGCTTGAGACAACCTTGGTCGCCCTTCAAGACATTACTTTGGAGAAGATATTTGATGATCATGGAAGAAAAACTCTCTGCTCTGAGTTTCCACAAATTATGCAACAGGTTTGCAATTTTCTCTTGAATTAATAAATTGGATAAATAATAACTGAGATCAAGCAGATGATGGCTAACTGAACTAGGATCTGCTATTGAGATAACATTGATTTCAGACTTCAGTAGTATTTGAAAGCAACCAAACAACCAACATCTCTATTTGTTTCTGCATCCATAAAGAATGATTCATTGCGACAAATTGTTGTTGATACTAAAAGGATGAACCATGCTACTTTTCATAGAAACTTAAAGAGGCATTCATCTGCTTGATCTCAGTTATTATTTATCCAATTTATTAATTCAAGAGAAAATTGCAAACCTGTTGCATAATTTGTGGAAACTCAGAGCAGAGAGTTTTTCTTCCATGATCATCAAATATCTTCTCCAAAGTAATGTCTTGAAGGGCGACCAAGATTGTCTCAAGCATGTCAAGACCAGCCTGGTTAGCAAAGGTGAAAATTGGCAATGCCTGCATGTACAGTTAATTGTAAAGATAATGAGCTTGTAGAAGTAGCGTAATTAAAAGCTATCTAATTTTTGTATTTTAGGGGTCTAAACTAACTGGGATTTTTAACTGTGACATATCACCCTCTATTCTGTATTAACTGAGTCTTTTTTTGACAATCAATACAAGGGGAATAGGGGAAGCAAAGCTGCACTCGTGGCAGTAAGACTTAAACCCAAACATTACACCTACTAAGGGAGTGCCTCATCCATTAGGCCAACCCCTTCGTCCTTAGCTTAACTGGTTATTTAAACTCTGGCAAAATACAAATCTTTCAGCTTTTTGGAAGTCCAATTACCTTTTAAATTTGAAGCTGTGAATAATAAACAATTAAAAATAATAGCATAGGAAGACAATTCAAGACCCATGTCACAGAGAGAGAGACAGAGAGACAGAGTTGAAAATTTTAAGCCACATACCTTTAAAAAGCAGCACATAATAGCATCTGTGTGATGCCAAAGGGTTTTGAGGGTGGTTTCACTTCCTTCACTGCCAGACTTGAGAAGCTCTACTCCCAAATAACACCTGTCAAGAAAGAAAGAACACACCAAGGACCAGTGAGAGCAAAAAAATTTATTTTAAGCCCCCAAAAAGACCAATTGCTACACTTCGGGACAACAGAATTCAAAAACTAGAAGGCAAAAGAGGTGCATCATCAGCAAAAGAGGCATCGATAGGAGCAAATATAAGTTCAGCACAGGTGCCAACAGCATTCTCATCCATTCCGCTCCATAGCTGTTAGGAAAGTATAAACAACGACATTAAGCAAGAAGGTTGGGGCCATAAAAAGTAATGGATAAAAAAAAGAACGAGGACTTTGTAAAAATGAACTAGTAGTAACATTTAAAAATATCCCATTACAAAAAAAAATTCTGTGAAGATATGAACCAAAACTTTAGGCTTGTTGGGGGGAACATGCCCACAGATCGTGATAATTCATGCATTAAATATATGACAAAAGATATGAAGAACCAAAACTTTAGGCTTGTTGGGGCAACATGCCTACAGACCGTGATAATTCAAGCATTAAATATATGACAAAGATATGAAGAACCAAAACTTACTTGCAAGAGAAACATGTCTCTAGGCATTATTGCATCTTCAGGACAATGTCCAACACCTTCCAGCTTAATGACCTCTAATAACTAATATCCATGAAATGAAATGTACAATCTATGTCAAAATTCCAAGTAAATATTCAAAATTTTGGAATAGATAATGAAGAAATCAAGATGAAATTACTTGCCTCTTCATGCTCAATAGTATGAGCTAGTGGCAGAATAACTTGACCTGAAAAGCTTCCAACTGTAGACCTTGGTAAGCTACAGGGACCAACTTTAACAGCTGCAGCTGAGTAAGCATCAATACTATTGTCTGCCCATTCTGACCTGTGCTCCCGCAGGAATCTAAGTAGTATTGCAGGGGGCACATTCTGAAATATAGGAAAAGTGTATAGCAAGATCAGATAAAGAAATGTTAAGCTCGAAATGAGAACATGAATACAGAGAACTAGTAGAAAAGGATTGGTCAAGACTTGCGTTAATAGACCTATATACAACAATTATCTTAATTTACTTCACTTGCTAATATGTGAAATTTCATAGCAATTGCTCTCCAGAACAAAGTGGAAAGCATTTGTTATCTTGGGATGCTTAATTTAACAATCTATTAATGGGCAAATTAATTATAAAACGAGCACTCTACATTTTTTTTAGAACAGCACATTTAGAACATCCACAGCTTGGCAATCGCGATACCACGAAGGCCGATCCTTAAGGATTTCTGCAACCTGGAAGTAGCGAAGCATAACCGATAAATGCTTCACATAAACTCCACAACTACTACAAAAAAGAAGAAAGAAGGGGGAGACTATCGTACCCTTGTAGGCTCTAAACCCACCAGGCCGCAAGCACGTGCTGCCACACCAGTGCAACCATGAAAAATAGCAACGATTCCAATGGAATCCGGACCAGGCTAAGCATAAAAGAAAGCAGTTAGTTCAGAAAGAGACCGATCATCAACTCGGTTTTTAACATAACAAATGCATTATTAACCCTGTCAATACCATAAGTAAATACTATCCTAGTGTATAATGCTTAACCAAAAATTGAGAAATGACAGAAACTATCCAGTATACACATTTTGTGTGTCCTGAAATGAAACAAATACTATAATTAATTGGATCATGTCCCGCATGTATCATAACATTCAGTAAACTTGTATAATTCATTAGTTTAATAGCCGCATAAATTATGTCACCATAAGCACAGCACAACATAGTTTGATAAGAAGCAATACATCAACACTGACACTACATACCCACTCATACGTAATAGCATAGCTTGCTACAAAAAGCTTAACAAGCCATCTGTCATCGCATGAACAAAAGAAAAAACTAGCAAAATAAATTTCAAGCCCACTAAAAGAAAAGATCACACATTTCTGATGTGTACCAGCAGGTTCTACAGACATCTACTGCAATTAAATAGACAACACCTTTTGAACACTAGTTACCTCACTTAAGGTCTTAACAGATATATTTATTTACATACATCAAAGATCAAAGATTGGCTTTTGAACACTAGTTACCTCAATTAAATAGACAACACCTTTTGAGCACTAGTTACCTCACTTAAGGTTTTAACAGATATATTTATTTACATGACAATGCAGGGATGATTGGCTTGAAACATCAAAGATCCCCCAATCCTTTGTTTCACAAATGACTTGTAATGAGCTTCAATGGAAATAATGTGCAGCAATGCCCATCTAAATGTGCATTAACTTGCATCACACTAAATCAAGTCAAAGTAATATGATGAACATACAGAACTATTGAGAGATTTGCTTATACTTAAAAGTCCTGAAGGATTAAAAGCAGGAAATAGTAGCTACTATAATGCATGTAAAACTTATCAGCATTTTTCTAGCTAATTAAAATAGTAGAAGATTGCCAATACAAATGCAATTAAAATGAGTGAAAACACACAACATGCCTTATAGTAAAATGTAATTAAAATATTACTGTCTCCCAAGGAATTCTTTGGATATCTTTACCTCTCCTAGCTTGAGCAGCAGAAGTATCTGCCATTTTATTATTCTAAATAGGTACCAAATAGTTAGTATTTCATATATCCTGAGCTTGATGGGAAAAATCATCTAAAAGTTACTTGAAAACAAGAGAGAAAAAACATGCCAATAGGAGAGAAATAAACAAAGAAAAGTGGTAAGACTTGCAGTTAGATAGCATATCATGACAACAAACTATGGTTCAAACTTTATAAAGTTTATATCACAAACCAAGTAGTCATATTCATCGTCAAACGGAATTTGAATATTATTATTCTAATTATGGGTTTATATGGACTTATATGGACTCTGTCAGTACACAAACACGGAGAAGAAGCGATTGTCGATGAAAATCAACAATATAAATAGAACCAGCGTGAGTGCCTAGAGAGAAATCGATACCTCGCTGGTGTAGATGGTGGTGGCGGTGGTGCTTCGAAATCGAGAGAAAGACATCGAAATCGCTCTGAGATGAAATCAAAGTTGAATCTCTGAGACAGAGATCTAGAGTGAGAATCGAAATCACAGATCGATCTGAATCGAAATCGCAGTGGCGGTGCAGACCGATCTGAAATCGATGAATCTGTGAGATTTGAATCGGTGAATCTGTGAAATCGATGAATCGGTGAATCTCGCTACCTCGCGGGTGAAGATGGTGGTGGCGGTGGAGCTTCGAAATCGGTGAATCTGTGAGATTTGAAGGTGAGATTCAAAATAAGGGTTTAGAGATGATTGAGAGAGAGGCGAGGTGAGAATTCAATGTTGGTTTATGTCCGAAGGGCTGAGGGTTTACAAAAGGCTTATATTCTCAGATTCCAAATAGCGCGTGTGGGGTACCGCATTTGGAGGCGTTTTTAAATGCCTTTTATTATAAAACGGTGTCGTTTTAGTTATAGAAATATACGACATTTTTAAAACACCGTTAAATATTAACAAAAATGACATTTAAAAAAGCGTCGTTAAAAAAACGCCGCAAAAATCCTTATTTCCTGTAGTGATTGTATATATGACATGATTGTGTATATATAGCATAATTAGGAATTAGGCATTAGGAAAGATTGTGGTGTAAATATTTGTATTTTCTTTTTCAGTCTTACTTTCAATCATAGATTTAGGGCTATATAAACTGATGAACTCTTTGTAAACATACACAATTGAATATATAGAAAAACTTTCTGGAATCTTACATAGTATCAGAGCTACGTCTGAAACCCTAAATCTAGCCTTGATCATTCGAAGCTCGAAGTCTTCTCTGGGCTTCTCCAAAGTCGCGAACTTGTTCTTTGGTCTTCTTCGAAGTCGCGATAGTCCTCTATGCTTGGTCTGAAGTCGCGATTCAGGGCTCTCTCGTCTCTCTCTCTTTTTCTGGTTCAACTAATCGACCATACATCGTGGGTTGTTTAGGCTGTTTGTGGGTCGTCTGGGCTGTTCGATCGACAGTGCTTTGTTTCTAGTTCGATACATCATCACGGATCTCCCCCTTGGTTCGGCTGCTGCTCTGTTTATCTGTGTATGCGTGTGTGTTCCTACCTTGACCATATCAGCATTGTTATTTGGTCACAAAAAAAGAAAAAAACACTTATTTATAGTTTGGTCCCTTTGTTATTTATTATTATTCTTTAACCTGTTAATCTTTGATTTATTACAATGAGGGATACCAAAATCCAAGCATTCAGATGTAAACTCACTGGTGCCAATTATGCTTATTGGGCTAGTGTCATGAAGAATTTCCTTCCTAGTCAGAAAAAATAGGGCTATGTTTCTGGTTCTATTTCTCATCCATTGGACTCGAAACAAGAAGGATATTTGAATTTCTGTGACACTTGGGATTGTAATAATGCCCAAGTTCTGATCTGGTTTCATAATTCTGTGGATGACCGTATTAAAATGATGTTTTCCAAATACAATACTACCAATGAGGTGTGAGACTATTTATTGGGTATGTATCAACAGTCCAATTTTGCCAAGTGGTATGAATTGGAAACAGCTATTCAGAGTGCTCGTCAGCAGGATCAATCTATTCAAGACTTCTACATTGCGATGATAAGCCTTTGGGATCAGTTGACTCTCATGGAACCATCTAGCCTCAAGGCATTAGACGCTTATGTTGAGTTTTGGGAGTAAGGTCGTTTAGTGCAGTTCTTAACGGCTCTTTCCCCTCAGTATGAGGCTATGCTTGGTGGCATCCTTCATCGGTATCCTCTCTCCTCTGTGGATGCTATTGTTCATGAGATCCTCTTCGAGGAAACCCGTCTTAAGATGACCAGTTAGACTCTGTCTCCATTTGTCTTCTTGGCTCCTACTTAACCTCCTCTGCTGCCGAACTTACCACTTCATCAGCTTCAGGCCAATGCAAAGCCCAAGAAGAGGCCACTAGCATCTGATGAGTGAGCTTTTTGCCATCAGAAGGGCCATTGGAAGTACAACTATCCCAAGAAGGGCCGTTAATTTGCTCAGTCTTCTCAGCCGTCTCAGCCACAGTTTCGAGGTCTTGCTCCAATACTTTTCGCTTTTCTGCTGCTTATACTGCCTCTGCTCTGGCTTCTTATCCTGACTTGGCATCCGTGAGTGCCTAGATTGCTCAGTTTCAGCATCTTTGGTCCACCTCTCAGTCATCTTCATCTGTTTTTGCTCTCACCTCTCTTCATTCAGGTTTGCTTGGGTTCTCTTCAAGTATTCCTTCCTCTGTCTAGCTTTTTGATTCTAGTGCCTCTCATAATATGACTCCTCATATTTCCTTACTCCAAAACTGTATCCCCCCTCCATTTCCTATTACTATCAATACTTCTAATGGGTCTGGTATGTCTGTCTTATCTATTGGGTCTATTTTACCATCTGCCATGTCTGCTATTACTATTCCCTCTGTTCTTTCTGTTCCTCAACTGTCTGTTAGCTTGCTTTCTATCAGTCAGCTTAATGTTTCTGTTTTTGATGTTATCTTTTCTTCTTCTATCTGTTGTGTGCAAGATCGAGTATCCAAGAAGCAGATTGGGACGAGCCGTAGAGTTAGAGATCTCTATGTGGTGGAAAACCTGCATCTTCCTCTGTCTAACTTCCTTGTTATACTTGCACTTTTCAGTTAGATTCTCAGTTGAGTCAGCTTTATTTATGGCATTCTCACTTAAGTCATTTGTCTGTTGATCGCTTACGGTCTTTAACTCAGTCAGGATTGTTAGGTAAAGTTTCTCCTAGTCAAATTAATGAGTATCAAGGATGTAAACTTGCTAAAATGTCAGCTTTACCTTTTAATAACAATACTTCTATTTCTGTTTTCCTTTTTTCTCTTGTATATACTAATGTCTGAGGATCTTCTCCTGTTCTCACTAAAGGGGGTTCTGCGTACTATGTGTCTTTTATTGATGATTGTACCCGCTTGTAGCTTGCTTTTCGTGCTCCTTTAAGATACGATAGCCCTACAGGTCAGACTCCCGTGATTCTGAATCTGAATGTGAAATAGATAAACACAAATGAGTCCAAATTTGACAAATCTTTTGGAAAATTAATTTTGAATAAAAATGCCAAAAATAAACTGCTTTGCCAGATTACAGAGTCGCCACCTAAGTATTTTTAGGAAATTTAGGAAACCCGAGACTCGTGCCAATGCCACTTATTCGTCATAACCAAAGTGTCTCGGCTCGGGAACTTAGGTATGAGAGAGGAAGGTCATGAATTGAGTATCCCACTCACCCAATCAAAGACCGGCCTCTACTAATCATGATGTGATTCTTATGTACAATATATGCTCTTGTTCTGATTATTAGGCTAATTTTACTATGTGATGCACACAAGTATAGACTAATTTGTAAAAGTTGAAACACTTTGATCTCATGTCTGTTTGAAAATTGTTTTGAATATGTACCACTTGAAAAAGCGATATCATATGTACAGTAATCGAATTATCCCAATTTGAGCAAT